ATACAGCCATCGACTCTTCATCAGAGGAGGAAGAGTCCCAGACCGACTGTTCCAGCGGTGTAGCGGGGGTCGCCATGATGATCACACTCGACACACCCTCGGCGGGTACTGCCATTGTGTCCTCCTCGTCAAACCAGCAGCTGTCGCTGCGCGCCATGTCATGTTCACGTTCCACATCTCGGTGCTCTCTGTCGCTGCGCTCACGCTCGTCAGTCTCGACTCGTAGCTCGCCATCGCTCTCGGGGCCTACCTTGCGGTTCTCGATGCAAACGACTCGGCCTCGAGTGGGATGGCCCACTGTCACGGGAATCTCCTGTCCTAGGGTCGCGTTTTGGCGGACGAGCCTCGGGATGCCATGTGTGATTTCAACAAGGTTGGCACGCTTGACGATAGCAGATGCTAGCGGGAGTACCTGGTCGTCACCGGCGTCATCGCCGACGATGGTCCCGTTAGTGACAACACGGCGAAGACTAGGTGAATAGGAATCATGCTCGTCGTTCCACTCATAACCGTCCACATCCCCGGAAGCCATGTCCCCATAGAAGTCGCCATCCTCTTCTGCCGACTCATCATCGCTAAAGTCATACACCGGCTCCCGGTAAAGAGTTGCAAACCTGGACAGCGTACTGGTGGCAGACGCCGTGCTCTCGAGAGAGCTGCCAAACAGCTCGGGATACAGGTGCGATATCCCCATCCGCTTCCATCTCGGCTTCCAGCGCCGCACATCTTCGTCAGCGTCTACCGACACGGAGGCCCGATATCGCAAGCTCTCCTCTTTGGCAACACCCATACCTGCAGCTGGTGGTGAGACCAGCCCGGCCCCGAGGGACGCTTCCAGCTCCGTGCCGGCGAGCATGTCCCGCAGCGGCTCGAACCGCAGCCTCGGCAGCGCAGGCGATGGCTTTTCCAGCGGCGTGGCAGGTCGAGACAGCGCCTCTACTCGTGCGGCGTCCCTTGCTGCGAGGACCCGGGACAGCGTCTCCTGTCCCGGAGACGACAGCCATCGCAGGACCTCGTCTTCCCCCTGTGCTCGTGGGCTGCGCGCAAAGTGGCCCACACCGTCTGTCGGGCCCGTGACGAGTGCCTCTGGGCTGTGACTATCAAGGCAGTTCGGGACTTCCCTCAAGCCATGTGTGTGGTATGCATCGAGGGAAGGGGCAGCTGTGGTGCTGCTTGTGCCATCGACGAAAGCATTCAGGGTCGGTCTGAGCTGTGGAGAGGGTCTGTTGGGTTGGAGCGGCGCCGCGCTCTTCAGGGAGATCCAGGGAAATGGCATTCTGTCTCGTCTCTGACGGTGTGCAATAAAGTGACTGGGGTTGTTCAAAGTTGTGTAGATAGCTGGAATTCACTTCCCTCCCCATCGCAGAGAGCTCGCTCTGCACTTATCGGCATGGCGAGAGGCATCTTTCAATTGCCATGTTCACGACGAAGGGCCCTAACAAGCCGTTGGTTCATCTCAGTGTTGGGACTTGGTCGGGTCAGTCTCGTTGTCCACAGAGGGGTCCCTGATGTGGAATGATGGATGAACAAACATGCTCTTACACGTGGATAGACACATGGGAGATGTTTGACACAGCAGTCGTAGTCACGAAAGGGCTGCAACATACGAGTTGTGTCTTGGGAACTGAAACTATCACTTGCGAGACATTCTGGAGAGTTCTTGTGAGCACCGGAGGCTGTCCAGGCTGTCCTTGATGTGTTCATCCGGTACAATGTGATGGGCTTTCAGTTGGCCATCTTACCAGCATGACAGCATCTGAACCTTTCCAGGAAGAGGTAGCAGTGAGGATGTCTGCGTCTGCAGCATCGCCCATCCTGCATGTGGCACACTTGACATGTCAGGCGTACAACAGACGGTTCAAGACCTACCGTTAAGCCAAACAGACACCTGAGATGCATCATTTCAGTGAATGTCTGGATATCTTGTTCGAGACTCTTAGACGATGGACTTTCTTTGACCTCTTGCAGGCCAGAGTGGCATGCATGTAGCAGCAGCCTCTTCTCCGGAGCGAACAAAGACAACATGGGTCATTGTAGTCATGTTTCGCTGACCTTGTTCAATCTGCCTGCAGAAGAAGCTGAATCAGAAATCAAAAGAACGTTCTTCTGACACGTTACTGCCGACGATGAGCCAGTCGGCGAATTACTCAAATATCTACGATCCTGTAATGATACATGGCTGAGTCTGCACTTCAGTAAGAACAACAGCCGAAAAAATGTGCTTGAGACGAACCTACATTTTTCGCAGATGCAAGCATCACGAATGTTGGCTGTACGAATGTGCCGATTTCAAGACGAAGACCAGCATGATCCGCTACCTTCTTTTGTCCAAGGTGCGATACCTGATATGCGGCAACCTGCCTCAGATTGACTACGAAATATGGGATACAAAGTGCTCCAAGTGCTGGACTGCACTCGTGGAGAATTTCGAAAACCACCACAACTCACAAGAGACGATTGGTGCTGGAGATTCAGATTATGAAAGGCTCCTCAAGGAGCAGGTTGTTGACCACAGAACATGGTAGGTCAAGCCTCACACTCCCGACGTGGCTTTCCGCTCAACCAGACACGGACAGCTTGTTTGAATCCCTGGAGTTGACCAGGACGACGTTGACGATCCGGAATTGCTCACCAGTGGCGGCCACCTGGTCTAGCCAGACGCCGTCCAGCCGATCATCGCCCATCCCTGGCTTTCAAAGTAGTCATTCGACCGGCCAATTGCCGTACAGCCAGAAATCGCCGACTGTAAAATCGCTCGAGCTAAATGCACTGGACGAACCAAGTGCTGATTGTCGTGAGTCTGACGGAACACATCGACAACCTGGCCGGAATCAAACATCGCGCGCAAGAATACAGCCAATACTTGACAGGTCGACGTATGGCCTGACGCAGCAGCGCACGCAGACTAGGCCGCCGAAGCTCCAGGCCCGGAGCGATAACATAGCACGTGCACAGGAGGCGGCCACAAGACCTGAAAGAGTGCACATCAATAGCCAAATGCAGACACTACAGGGAGATATCGGGATGCAGTCGGGGATGACTCTGTCCCGGTTCCTGGATGAGGTAGAGCTCCTGTGGATGAAAGCTGGCCCAGAAAACTGAATGGGCCTGGGAGAAGTGGGGGACAGTTGCTCTGTTCAGCGGATGAACCTTTCTCGCCGGTCTTCGTTGGACCGGAACAGAGGACATTCGTCCCGTATAAGCAGGACATTATGGTCAGGAGGACGTCATGGATAGCGCTGTGAGCTGTGCGATTGAACATGGATTAAGCACAGCGAACTGTTTGCAAGTTGAGGGCCAGCACCGGCTGGGAGGTCCGGTCGTATCGGCTCGGACTCGGTGACGGATGTGGAGGGGCCAGGTGATCGACTGATGTGACGGGGGTCAATTTGGCGCAGACCGCGTAGGGACATACGTGTCCGCCAAGGCCAGGGAAAATGTCGGTGCCTTGGGGTTACACTACTGCAGCATATACGCTTGCTATTGCTGCGAGGCTTTTTGTTTGGCGACCGAGCGATTTGGCCTGATCGACGGCGAGCGGAGTTCCTGGCAGGCTGCCCGATTTCCGCCGAGTTGATTCGTCACAATGTGGTCGTAGGGCTGACAGGGGTTGACGAGCCCAGCTGAAGAGAAAGCGAACAAAGCAAGACGGAGCGCGGGCGCATACGTGTCGGCTGTCGTTTTCGTTCACTGGGCTAGGGGGACTTTGTAGACCCTCCTCGAACTCGCTCTGTCAACCTGTGAGCCATACATCGATCAACATGGATAAGACTTCTTCAGTATGTTTCTCTCACGCAGCGACTTGGCAGATGACGAGCAGCTGGTCCAAACCCCTGGTCCATAGTTCCTAGGTCTTCCACGTACCTCCATAGTCTTGGCAGCCCTATGCGTGGAGAGCACCAGCGTGCGAGTGGGGGGGAAGGACAACCTCACCATCAACCAGTAGAAACTGCATCAATGATTGAACCAGCGACTCATATTTGGTGGCCAACAAGAACACCATGTCTCATCGAGGTGATGCTGCGGGCAGCAGTGTGGCCCTAAAGCATGCTGTGCTAGATCGGGCGCCACCCAGCCAAGGGACTGTCGAGTGCCGCGACTGGGTGACAGACGAGGACAATTAGCAAGCAAGCAACTCAATACCAGCATGGACCTGCATGGGAGCTCCAGTACTTGTTCTGAAGGGGTGGCCGCGCCCCCCGCAGGGATGGAGAGAAAGGTGTCATCCGGCCAGTTTGGCCTCAGACTAGGTTGAGGAACGTGGAGCAATAGTGTGCATGTATGTTCCTGTGTGGACCTGGGATTGTGACGAATAACCATAGTTTATTCGCCCAATGAATCAAATCTCGCCCAGTCGCTAGCAATCATGTACAGCTTCGTCGGAGACTGTGCCGCCGGTGAAACTTGCAGAACGAGGGCGCCGCCATGCAGGACCGCAGGACCGCAGGACTCTAGGACTGCAGGGCTCGAGGGACCAGATAGCAGGTCGAGAATGAGCTGATTTCGAAGGCAGTGTACAAGTAGGTACATGTATGTCAAGCGAATGCTCCAGGGGGAAGGCGACCTAGGTACTGTATGGTTTGTTGGCAGGGCTGACCGTTGGCCTCCGTCGGAGTACCTAGGCAAGGGGGACATTCGGTCCTGTGGATTGGACCGTGGGCCGGTCGAAGCGGGCGTCGGTGATAGGTTCAATGTCACCGCTGTCGAATGGTGCACATCTGGACCTTTCTCCTGGTGTTTTGATGGTGCATGTTTCGTGTGTGCATGACGAGGACGTGGTGGTTCCTTCGTGGCTGTCCCCCGCCGAAACAGATGGAAGTATGCTCTGTCCCTGTATCTCTCGTTTCCTCTTGATGGCCACCGCCGTGCGCATGTCCTGTAGCAGGACATGGGATGGCGGATGAATTGAATGGGGAGTGGGTTGACACGGGACGAAGGAGAAAAAGAGACTTGACCCAAAAAGAGCGTCGGTAAAGGGACGGCCAAGCGTTGTCGCCAGGAACAGGCGCTCAGTGGCTCGAGGAGCGAGGCGCATTACTCGTCGCTGGAGCTTGCACCCAGCCGTTGGGGGCGGTGCCCAACAGATGACATCGATAGCCCGCTGTTAGGGGCGCTGCGGTGTTGACAGCCGGCAAGACTAACAGGAAGATCCAGGGGGGGCATCCACCTGATGGGCTGACGGATGCTCCTCCACTCCCCTACCAGAGGCTACCTTCGCTGTACCATGTACGGTACCAAGGGCACTGAAGCGTCTCCCCCCCCAGCGGATTATTAGTGTCTGATCCTCTGAGCACGCTCCGCCTCCCTGGCCTGCAGGGTCTGCCTCTGATTGGATAGGGTGGGGCCTGGTTTAGGCAGCAGCCTCCCCCTCCCATCGATTCCGGCGTCCTCAGTCTGCCACGACCGGATGCTTTTCTAAGCAAACGACCTCACCTCGTCTGCCCTCCTCAACAACCCCCCCCCCCCTTTGGCCATTCCAACCCCTAACGTCCCTCGACCTGAACCCCGAGATCTTCTTGTTTGTCCCTGGTTTCTCGCTTCTTTCTCACTCCGCCTACTTCCGCAAACCCCGTCAGGACACCTTGTTTCTTCTCTGCCATCATCACCCAGCAATTGAAAGAGCGTCAAGAATCACGTCGTCCTCGAGAACATCTTTATCCTTGATTGCCGCCGCCCCCCCTTGTCTTGTCGACTCGAGCATCACAGAGCATCGCAGAGCAACGCAGAGCATCGCAGAGCATCGCAGAGCATCCTATCCTCAATTTGTTCCGCCCACTTCCATCCGCATCTTCGCTTTTCGCCAGCGCGTCTTACGCCAGCCAGCACGTCACGCAACTCAACGCAAACTAGGTAGCAAAGGCGCAACTTCGAGCGCCATTTCCCAACTTGTCGCTGGCTGTTGCTCCTTTGCTCCTGGGCAAGTCCTCCTCTGGCCCTCCCCCGCCCCTCCAGCTCCAGGCACACCATTTTTGGCATCGACATATATCCGCCTTCTCGCGTCTCTCTCCTTTCTCTCTCTTCCAATCGTGCACATTCCCCGGCTGTCCATCAACATCGACGACGCCCTTGCTGTCGAGTGCTTCGCCGTTTGATCACGTCTGTCAGCGAATCGACCGTGAGTGACGCTCGCCCCCTTCTCCTCTTCCTGCCCTCCTCCTCCTCCTCCTCTCTCTCTCTCTCTCTGCCTCGCCCCTCAACCCATTCCCCCACGTCTGTCGCCGCCCTCGCCGAACTCTCCCGTTCCTCACTCCTTCATCCACCAATACACTCTCTACCCTCTCTGCCAAGTCTAGGACTACCGCACGCATCCATCCGGCGCGTGGGTTCCCCAGACTTCGCAGGCAGTGACTCACTTCCCGACACCTTCCTTCGCCTCACTCGCCGGTAGTCCCCTTTCAGTCCCTTGACTAACCCTGGTGGTGATACCAGAGCTGGCCATCGCCCGCCAGTACCCACTCCCCCTTCCGACACTTTCGTCATGTCGTGCCAGAACCCTCGCCGCCGGTCCCCTGTGACCCGCGTCGGCGACGCTTCCAGCAATGGCCTCACCAGCCTTAAGACCAACATGACCCTGCGCAAGGGTGCCACCTTCCACTCGCCCACCTCTCTCGACTCTTCATCCATCGACGCCTTCATCCCCCCAGCTCTTGGTCGTTCTCAGACCAACCTTGAAGACGTTGTCGGCGCTCACGTTCGCCGCATGGAGATGATCGTCAGCGGCATCGAGACATCACTCAATCTGAATGATACCCCAAGGCCGGCCTCCAAGCCTTCGCGTGACGAGTGCCTGCCTCGCACAAACGGCTTCCTCGGCCGCCCTACTGTCGACCCCGCCATGGCAAAAGACACCAAGACCAGCGGGGAGCGCCGCGTTCTGCGCCCAAGACATCGTCGCTCATCGGAGCAGCACGCTTCGGACAGCGGTCTCGGCACCTCTCTGGCCTCTTCCGTCGAGAAGCAGGCCCCCAGCATCACCTCTAAGACCAGCAAGGCATCCGCCATTACACGCTCTGCTGCCGCTCCGTCCAACACCATGACCAAGGTCTCTGGCCTGAGCTCCAAGGCGGTCAGCCGTGTTCACGAACACGTGCTTCGCCCCCTTCGTGCCAAGCCTGAGCTGAAGGACTTCGAGCCCATCGTCCTGGACATTCCCAGGCGAATCCGTGACAAGGAAATCATCTGCCTCAGGGATCTTGAGAAGACTTTGATCTTCATGGCACCGGTAAGTCAACTCTTGTATCAACGCAGCGTTTGGGGAGATACTTATCGGTCGTTGATGAAGGAGAGGGCCAAGACCGCCGCCTTGTACCTCGATTTCTGCCTGACGTCCATTCGATGCATTCAAGCCACCGTCGAATACCTCAGCGACCGCGAACAAATTCGACCGGCCGACCGACCATACACTAACGGATACTTCATTGATCTCGTCGAACAGATTCGCCAATACGCCGGACAACTGGCCACTGCCAAGGAAGCCGGAGTCGAGGGGCGTGAGATGGACGTCGACCCCACCGACGAGGTTAAGCTGTTCGGTGGCATCTCGCAGAACGGCCGCCCCGCCGAGCTTGTCCGCGTCAGAAAGGACGGTCAAGCCATCTCCATGGCCACTGGCCTCCCCGTTGACATGGATGAGGACGGCAAGGATTTCCCCAGACTGAAGCGCTCCCTGAGCCAGCAGCTGGCAGACGACGAGGAGATCATGCGGTCCATGGCTCGCAGGAAGAAGAACGCGACGCCGGAGGAGCTCGCGCCCAAGAAATGCCGCGAGCCTGGCTGCAACAAGGAGTTCAAGCGTCCCTGTGACCTGACCAAGCACGAGAAGACTCACTCTCGTCCCTGGAAGTGCCCTGTCAAGACGTGCAAGTACCACGAGTACGGCTGGCCCACCGAGAAGGAGATGGACCGCCATCACAACGACAAGCACTCCTCAGCGCCCCCCATGCACGAGTGCCTGTTCAAGCCTTGCCCTTACAAGTCGAAGCGCGAGTCAAACTGCAAGCAGCACATGGAGAAGGCCCACGGATGGCAGTACGTCCGCACCAAGACCAACGGCGGCAAGAAGGCGCCCAGCGTTGCTGGAAGCTCGGCACAGCCGACCCCTCAGCTTGGCAACATGGCAACGCCCTCGAGCAGCCACAGTATTGCTACGCCGCCCGAGGAGAGCACCAGCCTCTTCCCGCCTTTTAACCACGATGACTTCCCTCACTACGTCCCGGCCGAGGAGTTTGCTGACACCTGTCTCGGGCCCATGGGACAGCCGCCCATGACGCTCGAGGGTATCGACTTTAACGACCTTGGCGTGTCTCCCACTGACTACAACACCCCTTCTACCGACACATCCTACCCATACACCTCCTACCAGGATGGACCCGAGTTTGTCATCAACAACGATGACATTTACGGCGCCCATGTCCAGATCCCGACACCCGCGTGGCCCGAAAAGATGATGGCTGGCATGCAGAACTACGCCCCAGTGTCTGCTTGCCAACCTCAGATGATGCCCGAGCCGCTCGCCCCACACATCTCCCCGATAGGTCAGGGGAACGCCATGCTCTTCACGCCCAACTCGTTGGCCGAGGTTGACGAAGGCTTTGATGATTTTGGCGGCTGTGGTGATGATTTCACCTTGTTCCCCGTCAACGGGCTCGACAAGGACGCACAATTCCAGACTCTGTTCGGCAGCGAGATGCCCAGCAGCGGCCTCGGCTTGTCTCAGGGCGCCTCCCAGGACTTCTTTGGGAACGGCATGGACTGGTCCAGCATGGAATACCACACCTACTCACAGCAGCCCCAGCACCAGCAGTAGAGTGATGTTGTGAGACTTCACTTACTGGTTGGTTTGGGATGGCCTGTTTCTTTTACGTTCTCTCCAGAGATTGCCGATACGATGACTTTCGATTTGGCTCATGATGTTACGATGAAGACTTGTTTGACAATGGCGTCAAACACATAAGGAGTGTTTTGCTTTTGTTTCCTTGGCTTGCTGTATATTTACACTCTTCTCCATTTGACCTCTTTCTTTGACGATGTCTCAGCTCAAGAAAACCAGTTGCTCGAGGAGATAGCCCAATGTGGCAAGATGGCGAGAGAAGGAGGACGGGAGGGTCGGAGTGAGCCAAACAATCAGGCAACAGGACGTCGGACATGTTGCTTTCCCCTGTCTGGATATTTGTCGATAGCTTGGAAGGATTTGGTCGATTTGCTGTGCCTTGAAATGGCTCTTGGGATCTGGTAATGGCACGAAGCCACAAAGAATGCAGACCCTCTCATTTGACCCACCATCAACGTCTCGTCCTGCTGCCTCTTGTGTTGCTGTGCATTTAAAACCGTGCTATGAGGTACAGCAAGGGTGTTAGTAGAGCATGCGCTTTGGTCGAGCGCGATGGGCTGATGAGAGGCGAGTTGATGCCTCGCGGAGGTCGTATGGGAAGGGAAGCCACCGAACCTAAGATTTGACGTGGTATAGAGGATGCACAGAAACTCAGAATTCCACCCCCCAAATTTTGGGTAGTACAATACAACAGAATTAGATAAAACTCCTTCCGGTCAAGATGACTTACGTGAAGTGACATATGGTAGTTCTTATACGCCTTGCACGGATGAATGTGCAGCTAGAATGTTTGGCAATGACGAGGTACATGGTAGATGGAATGTGAGGGGCAGCTGTATGAGGCCGCTTGCCAGCTGGCAGCTTCCACTCCACAATTGCATCAGGGAGAAAAACCTGAGCCGCAGCAATTTCCTCCTCTTTCCCTCCTTCACACTCACCACCGTCACAACCGTGCCAAAGAGCGAAAACCACCCCTCGCCTCGCCAGCGGCTTCTCGCTTCCTTTCGCCAGCGAGGAGCCCCGTCTGGCCGCCCCAAACAGGTGAGACCTTTTCCTCTATCTGAATTCATTCTTCCTACTGCTTTCTCCCCTGTCCTTCCGAAACAGGAGATGGGAAAAAACAATGGCCTACATGATGAGATTCGCATCAACCCCCTCAAAATCATAGGAAGAGCCGTCTGAGACGCCCCGGGCCGCTCTCCTCTCGTGCCGCGTCTCTCTCTCTCTGGCTCCCAGCCTCTTCGGAGGACGGGGGTCACCGAGGGGCGCGCGGCGCGTGGAGTGCAAACGGTCCCTCGGCTTAGCTCCCGCCGACGCTGTCGCGCTCGCCCGGCTCGGGGATGGGCAAGACTCGCGGAGACTTGGCACCGTCGCATGCGAACTGTCTCCGTGGTAGGTCTGCCGCCCTTGGCTGGGGGGTTTGTGATGGGCGGTGGGGGCGGTGGGGTCAGTTGTGCTTATAATCGGGTTTCTGACGTGGCTTTTATCTACTCACTGCGGAGTGTTTTCTGGTCGTGCTGTTGCCGTGTGCTGGTGGCTAACTTGCGCAGTAGTTGAACTTGACTGTTGGAGACGGGGGGACTGGTCTGCTGTGTTTTGGTTGTTTGCTGGGTTGGAGAGACGGGGACGTGATGATGACGCGTAGCTTCACAATTAATATAAACACAATTACACAACATGGACAGAAAACATATCCCAGGTGAACCGTCTACATTGTCTTCCTACACCGGCTCATGTAAACTGATTTTGGTGAGCTTGGAGCTTGTCCGTCCGCCCAACAGCAAGGGTATCTATCTATCTTCCTTAACACATGAGCTTTCCAGCATCGGCACACCGATAAGAAACACCCCGACCCAATCCGCATGATTCCCGGCGCCTTGCCTTGATACTAGTAACTGTCCTCGTCACTCTCGTCAATAACGGTCCGCCGGCGATTGTGCCGACTGGACTGTCCGCGAGGCTGAAGATCGTCATCATCAACCTCGTCAAATTCGTTCCCTACGTCGTTCATGTTCTCAGACGCGTCCGAATCGTCAACAACCGTAGGCTTGCCTCTCCTTGCCGTCTTTGTGGCCAGGCCTGTCCTTGCAGTCATTACGCTGAGGTCAGGCAGGTCATCTGTTGAGTCTTGAGTAGCTGGCAAAGACAGGGGCTCGAAAAAGGGCTTCAGTTGCGTCCTTGTTGGAACTGGAGTTGACGTAGCACTTGACGGCAGGTCATCCGACACGTCTCTGAGGCTCGAGATGGGATGATCGTCCCCGACCACAAAGTCGAGCAAGTCGGCCCCATCATCAGATCCATCCGTGTCTTCCATGTCGCTGTCTCGGTCACAGTCGTCTCCCAGCTCATCACTGTTGATGCCGCCTCTCTTTTGGGGCGCTCGCTTCTTCGGCTTCCTCCCTCGCGCTTTTGGCACTGCAGCTTTCTTCGGCCGACCGCGCTGAGGTGCCTCGCACACTGTATTCTCCGAGTCGTCTCCTTCTTCCGCATCAGACAATATGTGAAGGGGAGCCTTTGTTGCTGGCCCATTTGACTTGCGCTTCTTCGCCCGTGGTGCTATATCAGGGCCATGGTCGTCGAGGCCGAGGGAAGCAGACTGCCTTTTCTTGGTGGCTTTTGGTGGCCGCTCATCATCGGTGTCAGGCGCAAATGGCGGGAACGGGATATCTTCCCATCTGCTGGTGTCCTGGTCTCCATACGGCCTGTGCCATTTCTTTGCCGGATCTTTGTACTTCTTGGCCCAAGTCTGCATAAGCTCGACGTACTTCTTTGTCCGCGCGCCGTGTTGTACCTTGCCGACAGGCCTGAGACGTCGATTGAGTGCTGGATGGGCATTGATGTCCACAACCTCAATCTCCTCTACCTGGCTCCGGTTGAAAGGCAGAGTCCGATAATTTCGATCCAGCTCCGCCATCTGGCGTGTGCTGAGTAGCACAGAGTCAAGTGGGGGTATGTCTGCCAGCTGATCGAGCTCACACGGCGCTGCTGGCGTAGTCTTCTTCGGCGTCTTCTTCTTCGGGCCCTTCGACACAGATCCATCCAATAACCCTACGCGCGAAGCCGTGACGAACCCCGTCTCCACGCCGTCCGGCATGTGGAACTTTTTGGGTGGCATCTTCTTCTTCGCGGCCCCCGCCTTTCGTCTCCCCGGTTCAGGCAGTGCTGTGTTCTGGGTGTTCTCGATTGGAATCTCGATCTGTTGCATGTCGACCTCGGGTCGAATCTCCCTCGGAACGATACGTGCCGATAGATCATGGCGAAAGTTGAACTTACTACCCTCGCAAATCAGGGCCTGCATCGCTTCGTAGTTTTCCCTCGCTCGGCTGAAGCTCTCTTCTTCCTTGCCTCGCATGAGGAGTAGGACAACGTTGCCCTCTCGCTTGCGACCTGTCCGGCCCATCCGCTGCAACATACGGATCGGGGACGAAGAGGCGTCATAGCACACGATCAAGTCGACTTGACCAATGTCCAGACCCTCCTCGCCGATGGACGTGGCAACGAGAACATTGTACTCGCCCGTCCTGAACTTTTCGACAGTCTCGATCTGTTGAGCTTGTTTCATGCCAGCTGACCTCTTTCCCTCGGCTTGGCCGACGAACACGGTCGGCTTGATGAGCGGCTTGTGGATGCTCAGCGCTCGTACGATCTCCTCGGCGCTGTCTCTGTATTCGCTAAAGACAATGGCGCGGGTGGCTGAGCCCTCCTTGGCGTCCATGAAGTGATTCAGCATCGTTTCAGCCAACTCGGCCAGCTTTGGGTGGCCGACAAAGCTGGGTATGCGAAGCCACCCCTCGACCTTTTGCATCATTTCCTGGAAGCTGGGGTCCGCGACGAGCTGTTTCTTGTATTTGGAGCCCTTCTGCCCCTTCTCCTCCACGTCGCTCCTGAAGTCTTTGAGATTGTCGAAGAACGGTTTGATGCCGTGGAAGTTGAGAAGCTTGATCGAATGTGCCAGTGATTTTAGAATGGCGAAGATGGCCCGCATCATGTGCTGAAGTGGTTGAGGCACATGCCGCCCCGCGCTCTTCATCCAGTCCTGTTCTTGCTTCATAAGCCCAAAGGTGGTGATGGCCATGGGGTCTCGGCCGTAGTAAATGTTTTGCTTTGTCAATTTGTCCATCATCGGCTTCAGGGCTTTCGTAAAGAGATCTTTGACCTCGCACATCTCGTATGATGGGTCAATGATGCGTTGATCGATATTCCGCTGATGGACATACTGGCGAATGTCGATGGAGTCTTCTGTGCGAATCTCAGTGTGCGATATGCCCAGGTTGTCAATGACCTCTTGCACCGTCTCGACCTTGGAGCCCGGCGTGGCTGTCAAGGCCAGCACCCTGAAATAGGGGTTAAAGCGCCGCATCTGCTTGACCACCTTGGCGTATGCATACTCGCCTGTCGAGCGGTGAGCCTCGTCAACCACCAAAAGTACAATAGACTTTGGATCGGCGTAGCCTCTAGAGATATCATTGAGCAACGTTTGCGGCGTCATGAAAAAGACGCGCTTGGCCTGCCATTCGTCAACGCGAATAGCTGGAGCGACGTCACCCGTGAGCATGGTAGTCTCCAATCGAGATATACCGACAATGTTAAAGCATGCATCGACCTGTTGCGCGACAAGCGGCTTGGTCGGCGCAACGAAAACAATTTTGGCTGTCTTGGTCCAGCGGTGAAAGTTGAGCATGACCGTGGCGGCGATGAAGGTCTTTCCGAGGCCAGTTGGCAAGGCTACCAGAGTGTTGTTGAATAGTCCATTCTTCACAATGCTGTACTGATAGTCTCGGACAGCCCCGAGGTTCTTGGGGTAGACCCATGTCTTGAGAGCCTCGTTGTTCAGTTCGTGATGAGTAGCTTCGACAGGCTTATCTGCACGGTAAACCCTTCCGAAACCAGGCTGAATGGGCCTAGAATCAGCATCTTCTTCGTCATGGACAGTGCCACCGAAGAGGGTCGTCTGACGGAAGCCGTTCGATGATGTCCGTCCAAATGGTTGCCGCGGTGCTCTGGGTGGTACTGCGACGACGGGTTCCAGTTCCGGCGATGACGAGAATGCAGCTGCGAGGAGCTCATCCATCTCGCTGGCTTTCATGCCATCCTGGTAGTTTGGTGCGCGGGCTGTCTACGTGTGCTTTAGTATGAAAATTGCAATGGAAGGCTGAGAACAGCACGATATATTGCTTACGTTGATAGTTGAAGGGTGAGTGGTAGACAAAGACCTCGAGGAGCTCATTGTATTGGAGTTTTCTCGAGATGCGCTGGAACCAACTGCTCTGTCGCTCTGGCTGAAAGCCTCTGCCAGATCCTCATCAGCAATGTCGTCATCATAATCGTCAGAATCCATCGCGAAACAAGTGGGAGGGCGTTATGAGGATACGCGTCGTGAGCCTTCCACGGCGGAGTCCGACACCTAAAGATGGTGGTAAGCGAACCGCAAGAAATATGTTTTTCAGTG